GAATGAGTTCGCTAACCAGCATAATTGATGGACCATAGTAACGGGGTATTACGGGGGGGGGGTAATCACAGCCACCTCTAATACAAGGCCGCGGCGAGCGAAAAGTGGCAACGTTGCATCCGTGTCTTGGTGCGCGGTCGTCTTACCATTACAGTGAATGGAGGAGTCGCGTACTCTACGTACATAATCGCGTTTCTACTACCCTTAATCATTACATTAGTAATTACATTGAACTTGTTACTACAGCATGCCAGATAGATGTGATGTGCCTGGATGCAAAATTAATTACGATAGCTTAATTAAAAATTAATAATATCATAGACTAACCAACACAAGTAGACTTCTCATCCCATTGTAAATTTTGAAGCACGATTTTCGTGTCTAGTTCATGTATGTGACACATGGGCGCTAGTGTCGACGAAACTTTGTTTCTATTATTTTAGGGTTAATTTCTTGATCTGTGCTTTACTGTTTGGTTATATAACTAGGGGACAAGTTAATGTTTATGATTAGATCGTATTATTTGGTTAAAAGATGAGGTTGTAAATGGCTGTAATAACGGGAAACAAATCGTAAACAAAACACGACCTCTATATAAACCGTACAAGAACTAACAATAAAATTGTCTTCAGCTGTTCCATAAGGATGAGAAATCTACTAATGGAGTATGTTTTATCCTATACTCTAATACGAGCAATGTTTGCTTGTATGCATGCTTGCTTGCTTGCTTGCTTGCAGAAAGACCTCGAAAACGGCTCCGACGATTTTCTTCAAATCTTGTAAATAGTTATTTTTTGGCCTAAAAACGAGTTTCATGCAGTTAAAACTGCCAACAAAAATCTAATTACGTAGAAAAACGAAACTGAAAGTCACATTTTTTTAACATTAGTCTTATGGGTTGCTAAGCAACCATGTTGGTTGAATTAAATAACAAGGAAACAGTAAAGCCCCCCACACACTACCAGACCAGACCTCCAGACCAGACCGTCTGGTCTGGCGTCTGGCACTTGTCTTATCGTGTGTGGGGCTGTCTGCAGACCGATTTTCTCGGACCAGACTGTCTGCGTGTCTGATGGTTGATTAAGGAAGTGGTGAAGGAAGTAGTCAAGTCGAGCTGTCCGGAGTGGGGAACTGTTTATGACCTGATATAACTGATTAGATTAAGGTATCTGCAATCTTTATAAATGCAATGGGAATGGAGGAAAACAGCTCCGCTTCGTAGGAAGTGGTGAAGGAAGTAGTAAGGCTAGCAGTGCAGAGTGTGGGAACTGTCTGTGGCAATTACATTAATGTATCTGCAATCCTAACATGCAATGGGAAGAGAGAAAAACAGGTCCACGACGTAGGGAGTGCTGAAGGAATAAGTAAAGACAAGCAGTGTGGAGTTTGGGAATGGATTATGTAGGCTATCTGCAATACTAAGACTGCTTTCAGAGTAAACTAATGATTTCCCCGAGCAAAGCTCGGTCCCCAGGTACTCTATGATAATACGTACAGTGTTCTAAGATTGTAAGTGATCCGCCGCTTAAGCAACAATGGCTTCCTGCTATTCTTCGGTCAAATAAGACATCTTAAAACAATTCTCAAAACATTTTCACGAATATGAACTTAGATTTGTAAAAAACTTTAAGAATAAGACAATGATTCGTGTAAAATATAGACGCGAGAAGTGAGTTTTAGGTACCTATGTATCTATATAGGTATGAGAATGCCGTACTATTTCCTTGTTTATTTGTCTATCTTATTGATAAAATAAGCTGTTGTTAAGTGATTAAATTAACTAAAATAACTTGAACTTCGAAGAAATAAACCGGTGTTTCTATTAAGTAGGCCTACTAGTAAAAAATATTTACTAAACCATCTAACACAATAAAAGCATCATAGTCTCTGACTCCAGTCTGAATGTTGATGTGATAACACAATTCTATTAATATTGTGGAAAGCAATATAGAAACCTAGCTTCTGAAATCGTTTACAAAATGAAAAACGTTTTGCTTGGTAACTATTCAAAGAAAATAAATTATTTATTGTGTAAAAAAACAAAAATAAAAGATTAAATGCAGAGAGATTAATTAAGCTTTGCAGGGGTTTATATAGCTGAACAATTAATTTGTGTAGATAGTATATAATCATAAATAAAGTACCTATGTAATACAATACACTGACAAAAGGAGAAATTAAGGAACGTGGTAGTGTTCTGCAAGTCCCCCAGCGGTACACAGCTGCTGCAGAAGTGTATATATACATGACGTGACAAAGTGGCTTTTTACTCGTCTATAGCTCTGAAGAAACAAAAGCTATTAAAATAATTATTCATCTACTGGATAGGGGCACTCATTCTCAACAAAATAATTAAAAAGAATTTGAAAAACGGTTGTGTTTGAGCCAAGAAAAACTAGTTTGAAAATTCACAAATTTTCCGTGTTCTCCTTCTCCTTGAATGTTGACGGACCTACAGCCCAAACCACTGGCTCAATTTTAATGTTTTTTATGTTGTTTGAAAGCCCTTAACTTGTAGATGTGCCTTTTGAGGGTCTCAAGTCGGTGCGTTGACCCATAAACCCTTGGCAAGCCCTCAAAGTACGATTTTGGCCCATTTAAATAACAAGGGATTAAAATTAAAACAAAAGAAGGACCAGCTGCGATTAAATCTCAATTAATTTAAATGTTAGACAAATTCATAGGAAGAGCTGATAATTATTTTAAAACTTTTATAAAGTTTTTTTTTCAGGCATACCGAATGATTTGATCTACTTACTATATACAATTACTTAGAGCAGTGATATTCCCCGATACTTTCCATTGAAAAATGCAGTGTACCCATGGTACACTGGTACAGCAGCTCGTCATTTTTAACAGTTTAATACTACTTATCAAAACATATGAAACCTAGGAACTTGAAACGTAGTACTATGGTTCGGCCGCTTAGAAAACGACCTGCGCGCTAATGCTAAACCAATGCTAGAGGAGGTCGCTTTCTAAGCGGCCGAACTATAGTACTAAGGTTTGTGTTATGTTTTGATACAGTAAAACAAATAAAACAATCGGGAAAACAAGCAATTAAAAAGTGATATGTAAATTTAGGATGAATGAGTTTTTCAATATTAGTTTTGCCTTATGCTATTTCTAACCAACCTAAACTGTTTGATTACATTTTTACTTCTATAATAAGGGCTCAATTTACACTAGTCTTTAGATGTACAGGTTTAATTATCAGAACACTTATGTAACACCAACGCATTTTATGTTGTTCAAGATGAACATTGATGAATTTACAGCCCCAGACACAGAACCTATATTACGGTAATAGATGATGACTAGATTAATTTAATGCAGTTGCAAAGTGTGTGTTTAGTGTAAAATAAAAAATGTTCTTGACAAAATCAGAAATAGAAAAAACCGCCTGTTGACTACACGTTTAACACGTGTTTTCAAAAACTTCAAACGTAGCAATTTGAAACTGAGTTTAAGCCCAGGGGGTTTGTTAAATAGTAATTTTGGTACGTGTGTCAAAAAGTTTTTAATCGGTTTAAAGCAGATAAGACCAAAAATGTAGAAATTAGTTCTACACAAAAAATATTATTTAAATGAAAGAAATGAGATGTAGTTGTACTATATATTTCACCCAAACTGTTTTTAATTATTTTTAATTTAACTAAATTACCCTTTAATTTATTTCAATAAAATGCTTACATTACAAGAGATGGCTTCTTTTATTCTTTATATTGGAAGGATATGTCTTTTATACACATTTTCCAAAAAAATTAAATATAACCCTACAAAAAATAAAAAAATAAACTTTAAAATTGTTAATTTTTGCCCGAATTTTAAGTCAATTATAAATTGGTGCTAAGTAGGCCACCAGATGCAAACATATTTTATACAGCATCCAATGATGAACACATAGCAAAGCAAAGATGGCCCATTGGTTCAAACAATTTGTACATGCCAGAACCATTAACCATTAACAGAACAGTAGAAGCAGCAGTAATCAATTGTAGTTAAATTCCATCAGCTCAGTTTGTTTTAACAGAATTACTTTGTTACAAATAAAATTTATTTTAATTTTTTTCTGAGAAAAGAGGACTTTTATTTTAACTGTTAATTTTCTACAAAAATAAATAAAATCTAACAAAAACCACTAAGTGGTACGGTAACACTTTCCCCGCTAAGTCAGCAATCCCAAAAAGATAATAAATCATTGCTTTTTCCGCCAAGAAAAACAATGTAATGTATGGCTTGTTAAATATTTCAAAACATTAATGACATCTTTGCAATGGCAAAAGTTTACTGTTAATTTATTTTCTGTAGTAAAATTACATCATTTTGTTGGTTTTTACTTTTATTTTTAAAATCACTAAGTTTGGCAACTTGCAGACTTTTGCTCGATCACTTTAAAAAATACCATAAAACTAGTTTCATTGAGCAAGTATCTCTCCCATAAGTACATTGCTAGGTGAGAGCTTATTTTACAAAATTTGACCATATTTGTGCCACATTTCATCAAATCAAAATCATAATGGTGATGGTTTTATATTTACTGATTACTGTACCTCGAAATTACAATACTTAGTTAGTTGGACTAATTAATTAGAGAAGTTGATTTATGAAACTATCCTCGAACGCAACATTAATGAAAAAACCAAGCAAAAGTCTGCCGCCAAGCTGCCAACACTTGTTGATTTTAAAAATAAAAAATTAAAGTAGAAACCAACAAAATTATGTAGTTATACTACAGAAAATAAATTAACAGTAAACTTTTGCCATTGCAAAGATGTCATTAATGTTTTGAAGTATTTAACAAGCCATACATTACATTGCTTTTCTTGGCGGGAAAAGGAATGATTTCTTATCTTTCTTGGATTGCTGACTTGGCGGGGAAAGAATTACCACATAGTGGTTTTTGTTAGATATTATACTACCACCATGAGAAAATTTCCTAGGAAAGACTATAAACATGAATAACTTACTAATAGTCACCAAGGAATGAGTAAAAACAGTTTTCAGTTAAATAATAATATATTGGAGCATCAGACAAACACAATGTTCTATTTCTGGCCACTAAGCAAAGCAGTGAGGTTGAAGCTAGACTTTGAGGCTTACCAGTCACCAAGCTTCAGTTTCACAAAATATAAATCAGTAAACATACAACATGTTAATTTAACTTTATCATCACAGTATTTGGTTTACAGCACACTCTTTAATAACATATAAAAATAGGAACAAAAATATAAAAAAAAAAAACTAAAAAAAGATGTAACGTAAATACTTATTTTTTACAATAAACAGCCAGAAAGTATGACCCAATAAAATATATCCACAAACACAAAAATTCCAACCCCAATCTTTGACTAGTGTAAACAAATTTTCTGAGATCCTGAATCCTTGACTACATTTCATCAAGTGTAAACTATTGGGGAATGTTCCAACACAATTTAACAAAAATACTAAACTAATTTACTATATAAATTTTATAACCTGCTTTCCAAGATACAATTTTTTTGGGAATGTATTTGATAGCAATTCAGCTAAAAAGGTGCATCTGTGCATATAAAATAAGACTTCAGCATAAAACTATTAACAATATCTGATAATGTTTTTTGAACAAAAATATTACTACGAAAGACAATTGGTAAAAACAATTGGCATTATAGTACTTTTATTAATATTTTTAAAATATATGTATACAAGTCAGTTTGCCAATATGATATACAAAAATTGATCAGTAAAACTACAGCCTATTTGAAAGATTGCATTTTTAGTTTAGTTTTAGATTTCCAAAAAAAACACAGAATGTTTTACTGGTTGTTACCTACTATTAATATACTATCAATACATTTCTATATTTGACAACTAAAAAAAGTTTGGATTTTTAAAAATGTACCTAGTTAAAATTATTTCTAATTTGGGAATTTACTTGTAACTCTTAATGTTTCAGAATATTTGGAAATCCGAGTTAACTAGACAAATTTACTTCATTATTTACAATATCAAATTATAGTAATGTTTATAATGATAAGATTTACACAATTAATTATTTACTTTTGCTCAATATCGCAATATAAAAGGCACAAGGCCAAAAAACTACAAGTCCATTTAAGAAAAAAAATAAAATGAATACTTATTTTGAAAATACTGTACTACACAATCTCCATTTACTAGGCTATAAACACGAACCGAGAAAAAGGAGATGAATGTGAATTAATTTCTGAAACATTCAGTACAAGGTTAAAGTAGGCCTAATTCCAAATTACAGAACGATTATTACTTATGAGATTAGTAACAATATGTCTATTTTTGGAAATCATCGTTTGAGTTTAACTTAATTAATTAACTATATTTGATAAAATAGCAATTATAGTGGTAATACATAAATAATATTACCATTTACAACTATAATACAGAAATAATGTGAAAAGTAAAAACTAACGCTAAAAACAAATTGGAGCAATAAGCAGCTTTCATTAACCTTGATCCTTGCAAAAATGCAAAGCTTAAATTCTAGGTAAATAAAAAAGCAATTATATATTTGAATACATAGTTGTAGATTAAAGTGGAATATCTTAACCATCAACACACAATCATACTTTTAAGTACCGCGTTGTTTAACATGCAGCACAATAGAAATTTCTTGATGTTTAAATAAAGTTTTCACATTGTTAACTACAAAATATAAATAGTAAAGAATCAACACCAGTTATAAAGGCTACTCAGCGGGGGCGGGGGTGTCAGACTCCGCCTTGTTGTCTATGAAGGCGGGGCCGGGCTCTGTGTCATCATCTAGCACTATTTCTTCTGGGTCTGGAGCTCGGGGCAGAAACTCACAGTCTGGGTACATCTTCTTGAAAATATCCTTTGCCTAATAAACAACATACATGTATGTACATTTTACTGTAGCGGGGTTTGCTGGACAAAATATCTTCACATTGGGCAAAAAATGAGAACCAAATTTTCTCCACCTCATACGAATATTTTCTACCACCAAACACGGTTCCATTTACGGTTGTCAACTGGCCTTCAGAACAGAACATCAATTGGGGTTGACACTTTAAATAACAGAAAGTGATTTCTAACTTGGCGGGAGCATTAATTTTCACTCACACTCTTATTGGCTACTACAACAAGACTAATTGTTGCATAGTGGTAAGGACCTGCAACAGCAGCAATCCATTTTTTGTTACCTATCAAGTTTTCTTTATGCAATATTTTTGTTAAAAATTTCAATACTGTACTTCAAAATCAAAATATAAAAATGAAAAACGGATCGTGGAATTAAGTTCAGCTTAAAAAAGTAATTCAAAATGATGGGTCACAACACCCCCTTCATATTTAAAATAATTTATCCCATTTCAAAATGGCAGATCCAAGATGGCGGCCAAAAAAATTACATCCATCATAACCAAGTGAAAATAGGTCGACAATGACTGGTGGTGTATACTTATCTTAATCTAGCACTATTTTGAGATTATGGTCTTAGTTTGTAAATGGACAATGTTAAAATGGGCAAAAAATAAAGTTATAAAAAGCCCTCATAACTTTGTAATGGATCAAGATTATTAAAAACTGTTTGTGGCATTGTAATCAGGGTAAAAAAATAGTTCGAAATAATGGGTCACAAACCCATTTTTACATTTAAAAAAATATTTTGCATCCAATATGGCGAATCCAAAATTGCGACCGGAAATGACCACCTTGTCAAAATGAAATACTTACCATCCAACAATGTTTGGAAGTGGTCTGGGATTGATATTTGAAAAAATGTAGAAAAATCCTAGGGGGAAGGGACTTTATAACCAACCAGTATTATTATTATTATTTTATGTCCAGCATTGGACCACTTAAGTCAATATAATGGTTAGATTCTTTTTAAATCTGTCTCTTCTTCTTGTCCGCCCAATACTTCTTCATTCTTTCCAACCGTTGTTTTCTTTCTTCTTCCGAAACCACTCTTCCTTGTCTCTGATTGTTTGCTCCTATTGGCAGGATGATATTTTTGTCTTTGAGTACTGCAAGCGCCTCTGACTTATTTTCCAAATCTTCTAATGACATTTTCAACCTTCTCAACCTAAAGTCACTTTTGCTATTCCACAACTTGTCAATTATTTTCTTGCTTATTCTATTTTCCGGTGTCCTTAAAAGATGACCAATGAATGAAATTCTTTTCTTTTTAATTATACTTAATAATGGCTCATTTCCTTATATACAGTTTTATTTGAGGCCAGTCTCCAAACTCCATCTTTTTGATATTTTTTGTTTATACATGTTCTGATGATTCTTCTTTCTATTTTTAGTATTTTATCCATTGCTTTTGCTACAGTGTTAGCTGTTTTAAACATAGTTTCACATGCATATGTTATTTGTGGAAGTATAACTGCTTTGTAGTTTTTCAATTTTGTTGCTATTGATAGGCATTTTTTTGTTGTATGTGTTTTTAGTAATATGTTGCATACTGATCAATTTATTAATTCTATTTTGCCATGATGGATTTTCTTTAAGATTGTATGTTATAACTTCACCTAAGTATTTGAAATTTTCTACAATTTTGATGCAATGTTCTGTTCAATGCAATGTTTTGTTAACATTATTTCAGTTTTCTCAAAATAAATTTTTAGACCTATGCTCTGGGCTATTTCCTGAAGTGATTTTATTTGTTGCTTGGTTTCTTGGATGTTATTAGAAGAGCCAGATCGTCAGCAAATCCTAAACAGTTTAACTTTATGTCATCTTTTTTTGTTCCAACAGTAATATTTTTTGGGTTTGTTTTAAGCCATTCCCTCATAATGTATTCAAGTGCACAGTTAAAAAGAAGTGGTGAAAGGCCATCTCCCTGTCTCAAACCAGTTTTGACCAGGATAGGTTCTGATATTTCTCCTCTAAATTTAATTTTATTGAAGGTATTTGTCAAGGTAAGTTCTATAAGTTTTATTAATTTTGGATGGAGTCCGAAATATCTGAGAATCTTTAACAATGATGGTTTATGGATGGAATCGTAAGCTTTCTTAAAATCTACAAATGTTATTGAAAGAAGTTTGTTTCGTTTTCTGTAGTAATCCATAATCAATTTCAGCGTAATTATTTGTTCTGCACAGCTCCTCCAAGGTCTGAAGCCTCCTTGGTATTCTCCTAGTTCATTATCAAGTTGTTCAATTTTTGTTCAAGTTGTTCCTTAATTGTATAAAATTTTTGAAAAAATCTTATATGTGCAATCCAAAAGTGAAATTCCTTTATAGTTATCCGGGTTGCTCTTATCTCCTTTCTTGTGAAGTGGATTGATTTTGGCTGTGGTCCAATGCTCTGGGAATTTCTCGGTTATCCAGATATTTTGTAATATCATATGTAGAGATGTTTTTGTCGATTTGCCCGTATACTTCCACATTTCTGCATAAATTTGATCTTCACCAGATGCTTTATAATTTTTCATATTTTTTATCTTTTAGTGCTAACCAACCAGTACATTAATTCAAAGCATAATAGTACAAGTTATGACAGATTACCTGTTTCACAGCAACTTCAAAGTCCAAATCAAGATCAGGACCCGAGCAAAGGTGTACATTACTTGGAACATCCGCTGATAGATCACAACTGGAGGTTTCTGGACAGTTGAAGTAGAGAGACCAAAGTAGCTGAGGTTTGACAGGCTGAATCACTGCTTGGCTGATATCAGTGCCTTCTACATCCTTGTCTTCATCCTGTTTTGGATTATAGAAACAATAGATACAACTTGTAGGCTAACAGACGTGAATTATAAATTATACACCCTCCACTGCAAACATGCAGACTAAAAAAATGTTTATTTATCTGGTTGAATTTTCAAAAAAATATCCCCTTAAAATTGTCAGATTATTTTCCTATTTAATTAGCCTAACATACATTTTAAAGAGTACTTATGTTATGTTTGCTGGTACAGGGATGGTAATAAAGTGTGTTTTTTATTGAAATGTTAATAACTTAGTATAAAATAAGCAATTTTGTAAAATTTTATCTATATACTGTATATACCTAATAAAAAAAACTAAAACACTTTATTTATTTAACATGAGAATTTTTATTTCCCTTCAGTCATTTGGCAATGAATTTGGTCATTTGGTGCGTGTCTTGTATGTGCATTAGATATTTTTCTTGTAACCAAAAAAACGTGTGGCAGGACATTCTATAATTTAAGTTAAAACACACAGCGAAGGGTACAAGTAAGCTACAGAGTTGCAAATTGTGTCATTCTGTTAAAAAATGATGCCAGTAAATGGTAAGGAGCCGCATTGCGGCATCCACGCAAACTATGTAGCTATACGCAAAAACAACTCTTACTATAAAACAAACCTCGTACATTAGCCAATTTCAATGTGTGAGGTGTATAAAAGATTTTCCTGTTTATTATTTCTAATATTTTTGCCCTCAATAGCTAACAAACTGATACATAAACTTGAAGGACATGACATCTAATGATAAACTACATGCAGCTGATGGTTACAAAGAAGTTTTTCCCACCTTACAGACAATTTTTAGTATTATTTTTCCGACACACTCCCAGTTCTCTAAGAGCATGACTTTTAAAAGAGGATTAGATAACCTGTTGTTTAGGAAGATATGGGGGATTAGGGAGTGAGAGAAACTTTCGCGCCGTTCCGGCCAAGCCTCTCATGCGGGGCTGGTTCGGCAGATTGGCCACACACTTCAACTCTCACTTGTTAGCTGCGGAGAGCTACCTTCTGCCACTGGGTGTTTGTCCACCTATAGAACCAAGTGAGGGGGGCCCTAGACTAAGGTGTAATGTGATCCGTGCTGAGAGTCTCGTGGCACTGGGGGCCTAATATTCAGTGTCTTAACGGAGCCTTCTGGGAACCAGGGGGAACCCAGTCGTATGTACCCCTTACCTCTCTAATCGGGTCGCTGGGGAGGTGGACCTTAGATACCCGGTATTCATGGGAACAACATAGACCATCTGACCCCAATGGAGGAGGAAGATCTACTGAAATCTGACGATGATGACAAGCTCGCGGAAACCGGAAGGAACGGAAAAAAATACTTTCCAGGGGCGAGTTGCGAAGAAGGAGGATAGCGGATGCTTTAGCCAAAGGCGAAAAGGTGCTATCCAAAAACCCTGCTCCCTGCAAAGCCAGTTCCTCCGGGAACCAGGATGCTGGGAAAAAAGCAGGGCAAGGGCGGCACACCCAAAGCTGACTCTAGTGAAGCCTCCAGGAAGAAGGTGGAAAGAGGGGGCAAGAGCACCTGACACATGAGGATGTCTGGGCGAGAAAAAGAAGACGAGGACGAAAGAGGGAGAGGGCTAGGGTGTTTCATAGAGAGCACCGGCACCCACCTATTCGGAGACACTGTCCGCGGAGGAGATGGCCATCGCCAGATCTGAACACCCGGACAGGTAACGGACGGAGGATGAAGCCAACAAAATCAAGGGTGAGCTGTCCAGGTGGGCCATTTGTGGCAAATAAGTCAGGATAAGCAGCTGCCATCTTGAAGGCGGAGCATTGGTGGTTGGCTGTGCTAACACAGCCACAAAGGATTGGCTGGTCAAGCAAGTTTAGGAGCTGAGTCCCTTTGGGGAAATCTCGCTACAGCTCGCCCCAGCCAGAGACCTTGTGAAAGCTATGAAGGTATCAGCATTTGTTCCCACCTCAACGGGGGCAATGACCAAGAAGGCCTCAAGCTGCAGAATGACCTTGACATGGACCACTGGGCGGTTGTCGGGGGTAACTCAAACCCTGACGGACAATTCCTGGAAATGATAATGGCAACGTACAGTCAATGAGAATGCTGCAGACACCTACTGGTGTGATAGGGGCAGATGCCCTTGGGCTGAATAGGAAGACCTTACAGAAGGTGGTTGGCTTCATCAGCGGCCATTGGATATTCCTCGGACATCTACACAAGATGGGAACTAAAGTTGAAAGCCTCTTATGTAGGAAATGTGGTGAGGAGGAGGAGACAGCCTTCCATGTTATATTTATGTGCCCAGCCCTACAAGGTCTGCGTATGAGATCCCTTGGCCTATCGACGGTTACCATAGTCAAAAGGATCTTGTGGTTCACCAAGGACCTGTGAATGAGGGTGCACAATAAGCTGTTCCAGCTGCGATGCAATCCCATGGTCACCTGTAAGCTCTCTGTTAAAAAAACCTCGTTGTTTAATATCAAGCAAAACTGCAACTTTTAATAAAAGATTAAAGAACAAAAACATAAACAGCTAGACCTCAATCAAAGAGTCACTTATGAATCTCATTTGACTCTTCGGAGCTTGCCAACGATATCAAAATTATTACGCTTCTGGATTATTTTCATTAAGTAAAAACCGTTTGATAAAAAATGTCCGAACGGCCGTCAAACGGCGGAAGGCAGTCCTAGGGTTAAAAGTTTGGTCAAATTGGTTGGGGTTTTCAATGTGTGACGCGATTTCCCGCATAAGATTTTTATTACATTTTTCGTCTGCATTTTGTTTCATACACTGTTGGGTTCCAGTTTCAAAATATGTCGTACATATAAATCTGTTTGTATTTAAGTGCCCAACCTTCTTAAGAAATGAGAGGACTTACTTGGTGGTAAAACATGCCATTGATCTTGAAATTGTAGATCTCATGCGTGACCCTCTCATCTAAATGAGCTTTGGAGCTGACCTCAACAAAAACTGAATTGAGTCGACCAATGTTATCCGAATAATTTCTGAGTCTAAGTCACGCACTCCTGTTTTCAGATTGGGAGTTTCCTATAAATTCCTTAAAGTATGGCGAATTCTGCAAATGTGGTAAACGTACCTTTCCTTATCGCAACAAAGAGTAAAAATTGAACTGACTCGACCAGCTAAAAATTTTTCCATCACAATGTAAACATTTAACGTTCATTTGTCCGAGGTTGGATGTATCACCACGGTGGTCTAGTACTGCCACTCAGTATCTGTCAAATGTTCCATTGGGAGGGTGTTGCAAGCGGTCACGTTCGCGTTCCCTCCGGCCACTCACAGTTCTTTGTCTTATAGGGGCATTTAATTTTAAATTTAAATAAAACACGAAGGTTCGCCAATCAACAGAAAACTACACTACAACTATTACAAACAATTTGCTGTCAAGTCTTGCTACGAAATACTTTATTTATGAACCAGACTAAGTAAACAGATATTTAAATAAAAATATAAATTTGGGCTTTGCTCTGGAAGTAATAAGTCCTGCAGTCTGTGGTTAACCTTCAAACCATGCCCATAAGTTTAGTTGTAAACAAAGTGAATTGAGTTTGTTCCAATGTCGACGGATAGCGCCACTGTCCCGAAATGTCAGCCCTTAACTCTACTTAAGTCATACATTTTTTTAATATTCTGAGACATATTTGCACATCTAAGTCAATATACCTTTAATTTGACACCTCAAACGTAAAAATCCGTTCGGCTGTTATTGAGTTATGACTTTTAAAGCCAACTGTGTTAACGGTAGGTCTACTCTTTACACTAATTTTGTTCCCATGTCATAACTGGTATAAATACCAAAGGGTATTTAATACCTTTTTTGTGTTTTTACAATGCTTTATACAGTTCACTGAACTAAGCTTCAACTCTCTAATGTAACTGGAAGTATGAGAGACAAACAATGAATTTTTTTTTTATAAATGTATTTTATAAAACTTACATTCTTCTGAGAGGCCTGAGATTGGGTATCGGATCTATAAACTCCTTCACAAGGTTCGGTGTGCAGTAGTGTTGATACAGCACTAGCCAAGTCCTCCCTTGCACTCTTCACTTGGCGACAAGTCATGTGTACAACAACTGCCAAACACAAACATTTCATACAATGATCTACAAACTCCTTCACAAGGTTCGGTGTGCAGTAGTGTTGATACAGCACTAGCCAAGTCCTCCCTTGCACTCTTCACTTGGCGACAAGTCATGTGTACAACAACTGCCAAACACAAACATTTCATACAATGATCTACAAACTCCTTCACAAGGTTCGGTGTGCAGTAGTGTTGATACAGCACTAGCCAAGTCCTCCCTTGCACTCTTCACTTGGCGACAAGTCATGTGTACAACACCTGCCAAACACAAACATTTCATACAATGATCTACAAACTCCTTCACAAGGTTTGGTGTGCAGTAGTGTTGATACAGCACTAACCAAGTCCTCCCTTGCACTCTTCACTTGGCGACAAGTCATGTGTACAACAACTGCCAAACACAAACATTTCATACAATGATCTACAAACTCCTTCACAAGGTTTGGTGTGCAGTAGTGTTGATACAGCACTAACCAAGTCCTCCCTTGCACTCTTCACTTGGCGACAAGTCATGTGTACAACAACTGCCAAACACAAACATTTCATACAATGATCTACAAACTCCTTCACAAGGTTTGGTGTGCAGTAGTGTTGATACAGCACTAGCCAAGTCCTCCCTTGCACTCTTCACTTGGCGACAAGTCATGTGTACAACAACTGCCAAACACAAACATTTCATACAATGATCTACAAACTCCTTCACAAGGTTTGGTGTGCAGTAGTGTTGATACAGCACTAACCAAGTCCTCCCTTGCACTCTTCCCTCAAATTAATTAATGAAATTTAATAAAATGACTGGGAACATGGCGTCGTCCTGAAATCCAGCTAGTTGGAGGTCACCAATTGTGGATATTTATAGGCATGATCTGTGGATGCGTTACTCCCAAGTGTGGATTAAAGTCTGCACTAGTGAGTACTACAACTATTTGCAGTACTACACTGATAATTAGACCTCAGAATAATTAGATAGAAGGCAAAAATATGGTTCGGATTCCACTATAAACTGTGAACCCTTGGTTGCAATTTGCTGTATGGGCTATTAATTATCAGCCCTGGCCAAGGAACATGTCGGCCTTAGTCAGTAACAAGACTACAGGATCGCGCCACTTATCCCCATTTATACTTGTGCGACGCTGATTTCTGCACTGGAAAAATATATTAAAAGTGCAGTCGGTCGCAACCGTTTGCCGGGGATAGCTCAGCCTACAATGGCTGGGTAAAGTTCCAGGGTCTGCGATAAGGTCAGGGAAACCACTAGGCCAATAGCCGGGTCTAACCGGTATAGGACTGGCTCATACACGGGCACTGTGAACAAGTCAAAAACAAGTCACCAAAACAAACGTGCAATAATCACTACCAGGCCTACGCCGATTCTCCACACTCCTAGGGGGTCGTTGCTGACTACGCAACTCGGGCTTCGTCCTAACTATCCAATAGTTAAGCCCAGAGTGCCTAAACCACGGTGAGTTACACGACGACTTGCCAATAAAAACCACAACGCGTGTTATCACCAGGCGGGGTCTACTAGGCCACTATAATCCAACACACAACTCTAATGCCCAAGCTAAGAATCAAACAGTTCACTCAATAATCGTACCACATAATAATATACAAGTACACTATAGGTAGAGTGACTACACCACTAGTAGCTGGTCTCAATAAATACCAAGCCAAACAAGCAAAACTAAATGGCAATTGCACTATTAAAATATTGAGCTACTTTGTAGCAGATAAATAAATATTAACTACGTTCCAAACACTAGATAAATATATTATCTGATAGCCGGTACTCCGCTATCCAAGCTACCAAGATAACGTGTTGGACTACCAAACAAGCTGTTCAGGTTAAATTAAAATAATCAAATGAATAAACAATAACAACCCTACTACTGCTACTGCTACTACCAACTTTATGTTACTTAGCTGGGCTTCTGTTAATAGGCTAATAAAACTAGCTACTAGCCTACTGGCCTCGTGCTTCCAACTACGCACGCTAAATCGTGCAGCCTAGGTTTGTCGGGCCTCAGAGTTATTAGTAATATAACTAACTCTAGGTACAACGCAAAATAATATCTACTACAGTCAATTAAATTATATTATTTGCGCTCTAGCACCTGCCCAGAACCGTCAGGAATACACTTTAATATTATTCCTGACTAATATAAATCCTAACTACCGTCAGGCTTTGACCAGCACGGTTACAACTCTAAACCTCGCAATAAAACCAGATATTAATATTATCAAACTAATAATATCAAGTCGTCCACTCACCACAAGTGGGTCAGTACCCAACTTACACCAACACTCGGCGCGATCACACCACCAGCATACTCCGACACCACTGTCACGTACACCACTGGACGTCTCACTAGACACACGCTAACTAGCTGTTCACTGCACGGGATCCACGACTAGAATGTCCGTCCTAGGCTATCCTGAGAAACTAGGATATCCCAGGCTTATCGGTACTGATAAGCCGGGTCAAAGGGCGCTAGGTAGCTTCGCCGCCGCCGCTCGTTCACCTCAACAATCGGTGCGCGGCCAAATAGCAAAAATATACCCCCCTAGGGAAAATAACTCGTTACACTTGGCTTAAATACCTAGGGTACCTTTGTACAATTAATTCGCCATTTCAGATAAAAGTATAACAAATTTACAATCCATTATCACCTAAACAGTTTTATTTGTTTATTGACTTACAAAGACCAGATGGACAGGCGTTGGTAGAAGGCCCCACTTCGATGACAGTAACAAGTTCTCCATTGCCGTCTTGAGGAGGAAACTGAAGCAAAGTCAAAGACTCCTTGCTTCCAGTCAGGATTGACCTGTTACAAAATACAGTTTTATGGTAGTGTTTGTTGGAATATGAAAATTTCTTTGTTGGGAATAAGCAAATTGTATTTTGTAGGGCGACGACTGTGTCAAACTCGACAAAACATTTAAGTTTTGGCCTCAATGCAGAGTGCCATCCTGGGGGTGACTTGACTTCCCAACAGTTGACAATCAGATCATCCCGATGATGGCAGTCTGTGATAATAAAGTTTTGTCAGTTTATACAAGTCACGGTGACACAATTGTTGACAATGACTTTGATTCAACAATAAGGATTATTATGTACAAGGATAGGGATCAGCTAGTTTACCTGGTAGATAGAGTCCAGATTAGCTTTGGTAACACACACAAAACACATAACACAAAACAGTAAAACTTAATATTTTGTCCATGTTAGGGACTTCATCAGAAGAGAGAAGAAAGAAGACTGGCTGTTAAATGTTCAAATTCAAAAGTTCCACAAAAATTCCTGTTGCTTTGTACATCTATACAGGGTGATTAACTCAAGGAGGCCACCATTGGGATATCGGAAACGGTAAGAATTAGAGAATACTTTAAATGGGGGACATTCCTTTATTTTTTGTGGCAGTTAAAAATATGATTTTAGTCTTTAGAAATTCAGCCACCATTTTCCAAAATGGCGGCCAACTTTGAAATTTCTTATGGAACACCCCATATTTTATCATGTTTTCGGATAGAACAGGCAATTTAAAAACTTTTTTATTCTTGAAATTTGTTCGATAAACCCACTCGTTTAGGAGTTACAGCCTATAGAAAAATGACTTCCGGTGTACATTTTACATCATGTAGCTCCTAAACAAGTGGGTTTATCGAAAAAATTTCACGAATAAAAAAGTTTTTAAATTGCCTGTGTTATCCGAAAACATGATAAAATATGGGGTGTTCCATAAGAAATTTCAAAGTTGGCCGCCATTTTGGAAAATGGCGGCTGAATTTCAAAAAACTAAAATCATATTTTTAACTGCCACAAAAAATAAAGGAATGTCCCCCATTTAAAGTTTTCTCTAATTCTTACCGTTTCCGATATCCCAATGGTGGCTTCCTTGAGTTGATCACCCTGTATACACACACTCATATATTCACATGGTAGGTTGATTTTATTTAAAGCTCAGTAAAAAAATAGGAAGCTAGCTGTGGAAAGGGGTGGGTGGATTATCTATGGTCAGGAGGGTTTCCGGAGTCACTAATGTATTGGTAGGCTAGTTCCCACGTTCTGAGTTGGGAACTGTGTTATTGGTCTTTGGGGAGGGATTTGATGGCTTTTGTGGTAAAACATGTATCATAATCTATGTTATAGTTTGCTGCATGTATGGCAATGGGTTTGTATTTGTTGGTTTTGACATCCTGTCTATGTCTATTCATTCTTTTTCTTAGGGGTTTTTTTTGGTTAGGCCTATTATAATCATAGGCTTTACAGAGTTTACACTGTAGCTGGTGGATAAGGTTTTCACTATTGCATGTTATGTGGTCCTTTATTTCGTACTCTTTGTTGTTATGTAGGATGTGCTGGTAAAGGTTTGCAGATGGAATGTTGATGCCAAAGGTCTTGCATTTACTTCATTTGCATTTATTTCATTGCATGGGTAGGGACTTGGGGGCAGTCTTAAAGGTGATACAACGGACAGGTTGAATAACTTGGGATGTTTTTTTTAGATTAGCTGGTTGTCTGCAGACTATGGTGGGGGTTTTTGAAAGAGTTCTTTGGTCTGGCTGGAACTTCAAAGCATGTTGTAACTGGTTTTCAAAAGGTAATAAGCCTATTGAGACTTGGATGGTATGTAGTCACCAGGTTGACGTTGGTGGTTTTGGTTTGCTTTGGTGGACTATCATTGGCATTTTTGGCATTATCTGCGAAGAGACTTTTTGTGTCGGGTATCCTATACCTTCCAAAGCAGTTTGGAGTTGTTTATTGTAAATTTTAAAGACTTTTCTCGTCCGAGTTAAATCGTTTCCCTCTTAGAGCACGACTGTATGGCAGGGAGCGTTTGGTGTTGTTGGGATGGCAGTTGTTGTAGTGTAGGTACTGTTGGTGGTTGGTGGGTTTGGTGTAGACAGATGTAGAGATTTAACCATTTTTCAGCTTAGATAAGTCCCAAGTGAATTTTAATGTTGAAAATATGTTTAGGTTGTTTAAAAAATAGTTGAGGCTAGTGACTTCCACATTTGCTATCAACCCCTATCAAGGAAAATTTTATCTGTTTTACAAGTAAAAAAATGTAAACTACTGTCGGCTTTAACAAATTTCCTTTGTAAAAGGAAGACAATAGGAAATGAAGATACAGTTTTAACTATTGTCTGGAAATACAATGTCATGGACATTTTTCAATCAATATCAATCAAAATCCATATGTTTAGCCCCTGAGCTGATCTTGTGACTAAATCAATAAATAGAGTTACCTTCGTTAATCAACTCATAGTAGTTGTACCATTGTTACGGCCGTTTCAGCATCTCCGTGCCATCATCAGACGTTCAGCCTTAGTGGCGTCGTTAATATACAAAAACACAAACTGTCACACGCGACGTACACATACATAAACATAAACATTTAACTAAACAGGCCTGTTGATTACACATATCCGCACTCGAGCAAGTAGCTGACTGGAGTCATCTTGCGGTGTCGTGTCAGCAGCGGCATTATCATTTGTACTTTGCCCTCTTGGTCTTGAATCCTTCTTCTGTTTTAAAATACTATTGAAAATTGCGTGTGATTTGAATTGTAGTTTGTCATTTAAAATAAGTTCCCTATTGTGCTCGAGTGCGGATATGTGTAATCAACAGGCCTGTTTAGTCAAAAACCCCCGTTTATGTTTATGTATGTGTACGTCGCGTGTGACAGTTTGTGTTTTTGTATATTAACGACGCCACTAAGGCTGAACGTATGATGATGGCACGGAGATGCTATGCAGACGGTCACTATTACAATCTCTATAGTCTCATGGTCTCATTGTAAAGATTCTCTCTGAACGTTTTGCCAAGAAGGGTACTGCAAAAATCATATGCTGGTATGTAAATAGTTAATGAAGCACCCAAATTATTTACTGTTAATTTCCTCAATAGATACCTGTCAGTAATGAAGATGCCTCGAGATAGGCCCCCCGTAGGAGCAGACTTGAGAAAGGACTTGGGTGCATCAGACACAGCAATCACCAGATGTTGAGTAGTGAGACGCTGGGAACCTGACACAATACCCGCACAATGAGGACCTCCCTCCCCACCCTGGGCGACTATCACAGAGTTGGCTGCTCTCTTCAGGTGATACACTCCACCAAACACAGCACACAACCTGAGGATCAAACATACACAGCAATCACCAAGATGTTGAGTGGTAAGACGCTGGGAGCCTGACACAATACCAGCACAATGAGGACCTCCCTCCCCACCCTTAGCGACTATCACAGAGTTGGCTGCTCTCTTCAGGTGATACACTCCACCAAACACATCACACAACCTGAGGATCAAACATACACAGCAATCACCAAGATGTTGAGTGGTAAGACGCTGGGAGCCTGACACAATACCAGCACAATGAGGACCTCCCTCCCCACCCTTAGCGACTATCACAGAGTTGGCTGCTCTCTTCAGGTGATACACTCCACCAAACACAGCACACAACCTGAGGATCAAACATACACAGCAATCACCAGATGTTGAGTGGTAAGACGCTGGGAGCCTGACACAATACCAGCACAATGAGGACCTCCCTCCCCACCCTTAGCGACTATCACAGAGTTGGCTGCTCTCTTCAGGTGATACACTCCACCAAACACATCACACAACCTGAGGATCAAACATACACAGCAATCACCAAGATGTTGAGTGGTAAGACGCTGGGAGCCTGACACAATACCAGCACAATGAGGACCTCCCTCCCCACCCTTAGCGACTATCACAGAGTTGGCTGCTCTCTTCAGGTGATACACTCCACCAAACACAGCACACAACCAGAGGATCAAACATGCACAGCAATCACCAGATGTTGAGTGGTAAGACGCTGGGAGCCTGACACAATACCCGCACAATGAGGGCCTCCCTCCCCACCCTGGGCGACTATCACAGAGTTGGCTGCTCTCTTCAGGTGATACACTCCACCAAACACAGCACACAACCTGAGGATCAAACATACACAGCAATCACCAGATGTTGAGTTGTGAGACGCTGGGAGCCTGACACAATACCAGCACAATGAGGACCTCCCCACCCTGGGTGACTATCACAGAGTTGGCTGCTCTCTTCAGGTGATGCTGTCCTGCGGATCAAACATACACAGCAATCACCAGATGTTGAGTTGTGAGACACTGGGAGCCTGACACAATACCAGCACAATGAGGACCTCCCCACCTTGGGTGACTATCACAGAGTTGGCTGCTCTCTTCAGGTGATGCTGTCCTGCGGATCAAACATACACAGCAATCACCAGATGTTGAGTTGTGAGACGCTGGGAGCCTGACACAATACCAGCACAATGAGGACCTCCCCACCTTGGGTGACTATCACAGAGTTGGCTGCTCTCTCCAGGTGATGCTGTCATGCGGATCAAACATATACAGCAATCACCAGATGTTGAGTTGTGAGACGCTGGGAGCCTGACACAATACCAGCACAATGAGGACCTCCCCACCCTGGGTGACTATCACAGAGTTGGCTGCTCTCTTCAGGTGATGCTGTCTTGCAGATCAAACATACACAGCAATCACCAGATGTTGAGTTGTGAGACACTGGGAGCCTCACACAATACCAGCACAATGAGGACGTCTCTCCCCACCCTGGGTGACTATCACAGAGTTGGCTTCTCTCTTCAGGTGATGCTGTCCTGCGGATCAAACATACACAGCAATCACCAGATGTTGAGTTGTGAGACACTGGGAGCCTCACACAATACCAGCACAATGAGGACGTCTCTCCCCACCCTGGGTGACTATCACAGAGATGGCTGCTCTCTTCAGGTGATGCTGTCCTGCGGATCAAACATACACAGCAATCACCAGATGTTGAGTTTTGAGACACTGGGAGCCTGACACAATACCAGCACAATGAGGACCTCCCCACCCTGGGTGACTATCACAGAGTTGGCTTCTCTCTTCAGGTGATGCTGTCTTGCAGATCAAACATACACAGCAATCACCAGATGTTGAGTTGTGAGACGCTGGGAGCCTGACACAATACCAGCACAATGAGGACCTCCCCACCCTGGGTGACTATCACAGAGTTGGCTTCTCTCTTCAGGTGATGCTGTCCTGCGGATCAAACATACACAGCAATCACCAGATGTTGAGTTGTGAGACACTGGGAGCCTGACACAATACCAGCACAATGAGGACCTCCCCACCCTGGGTGACTATCACAGAGTTGGCTTCTCTCTTCAGGTGATGCTGTCCTGCGGATCAAACATACACAGCAATCACCAGATGTTGAGTTGTGAGACACTGGGAGCCTGACACAATACCAGCACAATGAGGACCTCCCCACCCTGGGTGACTATCACAGAGTTGGCTTCTCTCTTCAGGTGATGCTGTCTTGCAGATCAAACATACACAGCAATCACCAGATGTTGAATTGTGAGACGCTGGGAGCCTGACACAATACCAGCACAATGAGGACGTCTCTCCCCACCCTGGGTGACTATCACAGAGTTGGCTGCTCTCTTCAGGTTATGCTGTCCTGCGGATCAAACATACACAGCTATCACCAGATGTTGAGTTGTGAGACGCTGGGAGCCTGACACAATACCAGCACAATGGTCTCTTCCCACCCTGGGCGACTATCACAGAGTTTGCTGCTCTCTTCAGGTGATGCTGTCCTGCGGATCAAACATACACAGCAATCACCAGATGTTGAGTTGTGAGACGCTGGGAGCCTGACACAATACCAGCACAATGAGGACCTCCCCACCCTGGGTGACTATCACAGAGTTGGCTGCTCTCTTCAGGTGATGCTGTCCTGCGGATCAAACATACACAGCAATCACCAGATGTTGAGTTGTGAGACGCTGGGAGCCTGACACAATACCAGCACAATGAGGACCTCCCCACCCTGGGTGACTATCACAGAGTTGGCTGCTCTCTTCAGGTGATGCTGTCCTGCGGATCAAACATACACAGCAATCACCAGATGTTGAGTTGTGAGACGCTGGGAGCCTGACACAATACCAGCACAATGAGGACCTCCCCACCTTGGGTGACTATCACAGAGTTGGCTGCTCTCTCCAGGTGATGCTGTCATGCTGATCAAACATACACAGCAATCACCAGATGTTGAGTTGTGAGACACTGGGAGCCTGACACAATACCAGCACAATGAGGACCTCCCCACCCTAGGTGACTATCACAGAGTTGGCTGCTCTCTTCAGGTGATGCTGTCCTGTGGATCAAACATACATAGCAATCACCAGATGTTGAGTTGTGAGACACTGGGAGCCTGACACAATACCAGCACAATGAGGACCTCCCCACCCCGGGCGACTATCACAGAGTTGGCTTCTCTCTTCAGGTGATGCTGTCTTGCAGATCAAACATACACAGCAATCACCAGATGTTGAGTTGTGAGACACTGGGAGCCTCACACAATACCAGCACAATGAGGACGTCTCTCCCCACCCTGGGTGACTATCACAGAGTTGGCTGCTCTCTTCAGGTGATGCTGTCCTGCGGATCAAACATACACAGCAATCACCAGATGTTGAGTTGTGAGACACTGGGAGCCTCACACAATACCAGCACAATGAGGACGTCTCTCCCCACCCTGGGTGACTATCACAGAGTTGGCTGCTCTCTTCAGGTGATGCTGTCCTGCGGATCAAACATACACAGCAATCACCAGATGTTGAGTTGTGAGACACTGGGAGCCTGACACAATACCAGCACAATGAGGACCTCCCCACCCTGGGTGACTATCACAGAGTTGGCTTCTCTCTTCAGGTGATGCTGTCTTGCAGATCAAACATACACAGCAATCACCAGATGTGTAGTTGTGAGACGCTGGGAGCCTCACACAATACCAGCACAATGAGGACGTCTCTCCCCACCCTGGGTGACTATCACAGAGTTGGCTTCTCTCTTCAGGTGATGCTGTCTTGCAGATCAAACATACACAGCAATCACCAGATGTTGAGTTGTGAGACACTGGGAGCCTCACACAATACCAGCACAATGAGGACGTCTCTCCCCACCCTGGATGACTATCACAGAGTTGGCTGCTCTCTTCAGGTGATGCTGTCCTGCGGATCAAACATACACAGCAATCACCAGATGTTGAGTTGTGAGACACTGGGAGCCTCACACAATACCAGCACAATGAGGACGTCTCTCCCCACCCTGGGTGACTATCACAGAGTTGGCTGCTCTCTTCAGGTGATGCTGTCCTGCGGATCAAACATACACAGCAATCACCAGATGTTGAGTTGTGAGACACTGGGAGCCTGACACAATACCAGCACAATGAGGACCTCCCCACCCTGGGTGACTATCACAGAGTTGGCTTCTCTCTTCAGGTGATGCTGTCTTGCAGATCAAACATACACAGCAATCACCAGATGTGTAGTTGTGAGACGCTGGGAGCCTGACACAATACCAGCACAATGAGGACCTCCCCACCCTGGGTGACTATCACAGAGTTGGCTTCTCTCTTCAGGTGATGCTGTCCTGGGATCAAACATACACAGCAATCACCAGATGTTGAGTTGTGAGACACTGGGAGCCTGACACAATACCAGCACAATGAGGACCTCCCCACCCTGGGTGACTATCACAGAGTTGGCTTCTCTATTCAGGTGATGCTGTCCTGCGGATCAAACATACACAGCAATCACCAGATGTTGAGTTGTGAGACACTGGGAGCCTGACACAATACCAGCACAATGAGGACCTCCCCACCCTGGGTGACTATCACAGAGTTGGCTTCTCTCTTCAGGTGATGCTGTCTTGCAGATCAAACATACACAGCAATCACCAGATGTTGAGTTGTGAGACGCTGGGAGCCTGACACAATACCAGCACAATGAGGACGTCTCTCCCCACCCTGGGTGACTATCACAGAGTTGGCTTCTCTCTTCAGGTGATGCTGTCCTGCGGATCAAACATACACAGCTATCACCAGATGTTGAGTTGTGAGACGCTGGGAGCCTGACACAATACCAGCACAATGGTCTCTTCCCACCCTGGGCGACTATCACAGAGTTTGCTGCTCTCTTCAGGTGATGCTGTCCTGCGGATCAAACATACACAGCAATCACCAGATGTTGAGTTGTGAGACGCTGGGAGCCTGACACAATACCAGCACAATGAGGACCTCCCCACCCTGGGTGACTATCACAGAGTTGGCTGCTCTCTTCAGGTGATGCTGTCCTGCGGATCAAACATACACAGCAATCACCAGATGTTGAGTTGTGAGACGCTGGGAGCCTGACACAATACCAGCACAATGAGGACCTCCCCACCCTGGGTGACTATCACAGAGTTGGCTGCTCTCTTCAGGTGATGCTGTCCTGCGGATCAAACATACACAGCAATCACCAGATGTTGAGTTGTGAGATGCTGGGAGTATATATGTTTATTATTGTTACTTTTTTCATTATTTATCAATAATTGTTAAAAACTGACTACTTTAAATTTTATGATTGGTTTGTTATTTATTTTGGTATAATATTGTATTCTGTGTCATGATATAGTTTATTTACAGAAACACAAGGGAAACAAAAGACTGATTGAATAAGAAAAGACTGATATAATAACAAAAGACCGAATGAACAAGAAAAGACTGATTGAATAAAAAGGCACTGTGAAATAACAAAAATTATAATAATTGCTGGAGACAAACCATAAATGGCTTTTGTAGCTAAGTTATATGAGTTTTGTAAATTTGTAATTTTTGGAAATAAATAAAATTAATATGCTGTAGGCTGGGAATTGACTGCTGGCGCCATAAAGCTTATGCTTACATCTGCCTCTAGAAACTTATATTTACTAACCTACAAAAGCATTGGGGGAGTTCTCCACTGCCATACATAGGCCAAAGGAAGGGAGTGTTGCCGTAACGTCCCAGGCTTGTAAGGAAGCGTTGAGTCCGCTCCACACCCTCCATGCATGGTGTTGAGTTGGTGGACATTGCGATGGCGTACAGCACGTAATGACGCAAGTTGGTTGTCAGCTTCTTGGAATCCAAGTACTCCACAAACGTCTTATTCTCAAACCCTAAAACAACATCCATATTAGTTATATTACCTAAGTTAAGTTTAACAACTTCTTATGTTTACAGAGAATGTGGTAGGTTCTTTACGGTTTTTAAACTAGGCAGTAGATTTGTCAGTTTTTGTTTGGGCTTTCATGCTAGGCCTATACTTCAATAAAAAGATACAGGATTTAAGGGGAAAAAAAGAAGCAATCTAAAAATACTATAACAGTGTAAATGGTATTATGAATCAGCATGAGACAAAGTAAACCAGAGCTTAAGTAGAATACAATTTACCCATGGGGCTTTAGTTGATGAATGTTTACGTATGCTTTGAATTTGATCAATGAGCACATCAGGTAAGGTTTAGTCATACATGCCACATACAGGAAAATACTAAAACCAACAACCTGAAGAGACAGAACTTAATGTGGTCATTGCAATTGATTTAACCCTACAAAACTTGTGACATTACCTTGGTATAGGCTACAAGATTGTCAAAACCAACAAAACTACGTACCATATTTATTTGCCTGAAAGCATGCCTTTCAATTCTGAATCCAATATTCAAAGATTCTACTGTATAATTACAATACACAAGTAACATTGAATAAATGACACTGACCTTGAAATTCCTTATTGTCTGGATCTTTAGCATACTCATGACATAACGTGAGCAGTTGCATCAGCATTCGTTTTTCAACGACTGAGATTTCTTTTGTAGAGAAGACATCAGCTCGAGAGCATGGGACAGTTTCAAGCTTGTCATTAATGTACGTCAATACTCGAGATACACTTCGGAATTCTGCATATCGAGCGATGTTGGAAGAAATTAAAAGCTCTACAAGTGATCCTCTGGCATACAGAAGCTGGAAATGATAAAAGACGGATGTTTTAAAATACTGTAAGTCTTTAAGAAAAACTAAATGACATGTTAAACAATAAAAAGCTAGAATTAATTTTCATAATTGTTAAGGGTCTGCGGATCCCCGAGATCAGGTCGGGCAGGGCCAATAGTTGGCCCGAGAGATAGATTCGGGCTAGAAACAATTTTTGGGTCATTGATATTGGAGATGTGCAAGTAGCTTGATTTACAAAGTTTTATTCTTGCAATCGTTTAGTGTCTGAGAAGATTGTGTGATAAAACATTCATGATTTTTTAGCATCTGCAGGGATGTTCATGCTTTCATATTTTTTTTTAATTTGGAAAACGAATGTTCCTAATAATTAATAAACACTCAGTAGGCCTACCTGTTAGTTGTATTATTTTTTTACGTTAGACAATCCTGGATATTCTGGTTTTGTTGTAGGAAGGTGATAGGTGGCTATTTTTGGGGGGGGGAGGGTAAAAAAAGGGCAGCATTAAATGTTAGGGGTGGGGGTATGCACCCTTGACCTTGGGGGGAGTGGGCAACTCTGCCGAGACCCGAAGGTGATCATTTTGTTTTGAAACAATTCAAAATGTAAAGTCTGCATTCAGACTTTAACTACTTCTCTAATTATCAACAGACAACTAGATTTAAACATTTTTTTGAAAAATTCTAATATTGAGTATTTTTAGTTAATTTCATTATTCAGAAGAACCTAATAGTGTAAGTGGCACGGCAAAACCTAGACCCAGGACCGATTTACTTGTTAATTTTGTCCCCAAAGGCCAAAAACACTATTAGTTAAAATGTATATTTAAAATAAATATGTATCCTTGTACACAATAACTCGATTAATTTAGGTCCAATTTTAATTAAACTCGCCAAGAACGAGTAGGGCTTTTAATACACCCTAATGTGTACGCAAACCAGTAAGATCGGGTCATGGGAACTTTAGGTTATTTAGGTCTAGGAGAGTTATGGGGTTGTAATTTTTTTTATTCTCAAATTTTTATCCGTACAACAAAAAAATGCCCAATTATCATAGCAAACATTGGGTAGAGCTTTAAACAAAAAAATGTGTATGTTGAAGCGTTGTAGGATTAAAGGTTACGGAGAAAATAAAAATAACTTCTTGATCAGCATTGTACGTGTAGTCTTAACAAGAAAATAATAATAAAAAAAAAAAAAAACGGTATGCCTACATTTTTAATTCTAATGTTATTCTTGTTTATACTGTAGATTATTATTAGTTTGCTTGTTTAATATACTAGCGAACCTGACGCACGTAATCGTGCGTAATCTAGACATAGGAGAAGAAGGATTTGTATTGATCTGGTTTATTTGGCGTTTTTTTTTTTTTATTTAGGCAAACAAAAATTTGCTTGACACTGGGTTTGAGAGGTACGATTAAGTTAAAAATTTTGAAACCCTAAAAATTTTATTTCATACCTACTCACTAATAAATTTACATTTTATTTACCTTGGGAGCAAGATCCAAATTGAATTTCCTGTACAATGTTTTTAGTTTGTTTTGGCTCCAACACTTAGACTGTGATGAATCCTTGTCCTTTTCACTTTCAGACGATTCTTTTTCACCCTTTTCTAAGCCACCTTCATGTTCCTCTTTGGCTAGATCACAATTGCCTTCAGTCTGTGTGTCTTTTGATGGTTGCGGTTCCCCATCTTTTTCTTGTAAAACTCTAAAAAAGGTACAGGGTATATTCTTTAATGTCTTTCTTAAGGAACATTAGATTGAAGTATTTAAACATGGTACCTTACTTACAAAGACAACTCATCACTATAAAAACAACAAATGTCAAAAAAGATGTTAACACTACCAACTGCTTTTGTTATCTTTATCTTTGAGCAGAAAGATGAACACATAGTGATTTTTACCATAACAGAGTTAAGTTTAATGTAAATTTTTATGATTTTAGCATGTTGTTGTTTTAAATAGGAATAGCGAAAACATCTTGCGTCTGCAAACTCAAATACTGCCAAAGCACTGCAAAGCTGGAGAAGGTTTGCGTTTGTTTAAAGGTTGATTCAAATGTCATACACATATTAAGGTAGCCAATTTATGAGTTTGGAGAGGACTACATGCAGTTATAGTACTGAACATTTATTGGCAAGTCATGACATGAAAAGAGCAAACCCACTGGTTTAGCTGCGATCTATCGATGGTATAGAAAGTCCTGAGTGGTTTTACTTCTATAAAATATAAGTGGGTATCAAATTGATTGATAATAAAAGCAAACTGAAAATGTTAATATCACCATAATACTTTCTAAGTTATAATTCATTAATTAAGTTTATAATTAATTAAAAATTAACATTGGATATATAGTATACTTATATACTTATACCTAGTATACTGTATAAAAATCTAGTTATGCTAGTGCATAGTCATTGTTAATAAAAACTTACTCAGGTATTAACCATTTCTCCTCGATGTTGAAAACAGTTGCAAACTGACTACCAGCTTTGACCAGACTTTCACCTTCTTTCAACAAATTGTCAGTGCTCTCATGTTCTAGTTCACTTGATTTGTTTTGACATTCTGCTAACCATTTTTGAAGTCCATCGAAATTGAATGCTGCCCACATTCCTCCATAGTATTCATTACTGAAACACACAATATTATTATTAAAATTTATACAATTTAAAAGAGAAAACAAAATTTACAGAGCAAGAACAATGTAATTTTATGCATACATTAATAAAAAAAGGTATAAAAACTACGTATATCAATAAAAGTCCCCTCTCAGGGACGTGGAAGGGTGGTGGGGTAAATCATCATAAGAAATCGTCACTAAGTTTACCAACAAGTTACTGATTTCTTTTTAAACAATAATAAAGTTATTTACCAATAAAAAATAACAATTAACAGTAACTAATACAGTTTAACTAACTTTAACTTTGAATGCTGTAACAGTTTCAGAGGATGTAATTTTCATAGTAGGCCTACTAGAATAAGTTAAAAATGAGGTTAAAGGTTATAGTTGGAACAAAAGATATACAACACCTAAGGTGAAAGTTTTGTATTTTAGTACAATAAAATAATATGAAATTATTACATTTTTAAGAATTAACTTTCTTTTTCTGTATAGGCTTTATATACATCTGAATCTGATTAACCATTTGGCTTACTATAGGTCGGCCGCTTAGAAAACGACCTCCTCCAGTATTGGTTTAGCATTAGCGCGCAGGTCGTTTTCTAAGCGGCCGAACTATAATTTGTAACTGCTTTGCTACGGGGTGAGAATGCAGAAAAGAATAATTCGGTTTTTTAATCTACTATAAGAAACAGTTTCAACACACTTACCAGGAAACATAGGCAAAGTTCAACGGAACTAATTGATTATTTAAATGCTGATTTCTTAATGTTTTATAGTGAATTGCATTTTAAATATATGCAAAAGTCTAATTCATTGACCACATGGCGCCAAGAAACAAATCTTCATAATAAACAAATTTAGTTAAATAGCAGAACAAAGCATAAACAGCTGGGTTAGTACATTTTCTTCATAAGAAATACATTGGGATTTTAATGGTGGGGAAATGCCCGGGGACTTTTATTACAGGAATTGGTGAAAGGGGGTCTACACAAAATATACTTAATTTTGACACATTGTTTGTAAAAATCCGTCCATTATAACGGCTGTAGTGTTTCGTAGAAATCACCTTCACGTATATACATATATAAGGATTTAGTACATGAAGGGAGGGACCAGACTCCCCTATGGCTATGTCACTGTTGGAGTGCCCCCTTGTTCAACACAACTTATTATTTATCATAAAAGTTCAGAATATAGTTCTGCTGTATTAATCACAGGCATTAAACAGCACTGGCCGTAATGGTATGGTTTTTACATCGTACTACGGTTAAAACAGGTGCTTTTTTATTCACACCTTGCGGTTCTAAAGTAGCATTTTTACTCCCTAGTTAGTAAAATCCTTCTTTTAGTTCCTAGGGAGTAAAAATCAGCTGTTGTAAACAGTTGTAGATATCTATGTTACGCAATCACATGGTATGGATCAAAACTATTATTGATTGATTTGGTAGATTAGGGATTTGCTTATTGTTGCATTCTTGTCAATTGTTTGACATATTGGTACAATGTACACTAACACTATCATAGCTAAGCTTCTAGTAAGATTTAAGGAGATATTTTAGGATTAGTCTCAGATGCAATAGGGTAGTGAAATTACCAATCAAGATGAAGTACCCTTTTACCAACACGACTAGCAGCTGCAGCTACAATTGACTCAGTCATCCCTGTAAATAAAAAATATTTTGATTAGGCTACAATAATTACCGTAGTAAATTTATTGACAATAAATACTTGTGGTTTTATTTGTAAAGATAAAAACTTTTGTAATGTTTACACAATGATCCCGTGAAGATATTGTTAACGACACAAAAAGAAAATTTAATGTACAAGCCTTGGCGAGTGCCTTAAAACTTCTAATGTGTGTCATTAAGGCTATCTACGCAAGTTGCGTACACTACTTTACATAAGACAGTTTTTTAATTACTAACAATCACTACTCGTAACTTCTAAAAGAGGTTATGTTTTTGTTTATAACCTCTCATTGCCACTGACAGTGATGCAAGGAATCATTGTACCAAACACTAATCCACCACTCATTAACAATTAAATTGGTCTAAACAGCTGATTAGTTGATGTTAGAAAATGCATTACAATTTTACTTCTTCTCTCTCAATCCTTGACCCCCATTGGTCCATTACCTGAGTTGGTAAGTAAAATAACGATGCTGTTAAGTGAGTAAACAATGCTGTTATGTGAATCTTTTCAATTCTAAGACCTGGACTGAAACAGCTACTTTAAAGGTAAAACTAATAACGTAATTAGGTCTTCTTTGTGCCAGTACATCTAGATACCTACTCAAAGAACCTATCCTCATTTTAGCATATTTCCCATTTAGGGAATAAGCTATTAAGCTTATATGATGGGTGAATATATCATTATAAATTATGAGGACTGTCCAGAAAGTAACGGATGCAGGCTGTGGCTGACTTCCGTTGGCCTTGCTCAGCTCTAACTCATTAGGTATTTCTTTGCTACCTAAAATACTACCTTTGACTATTAATACAACAACTAGACATTCCATCCCCATGTTAAAATTGTAGCCAGTTTTTTTATAAAATTTGTCTTAGTTGATGTGAGTCACCTACAGATTGCGCTGATCTAATTACTGATTTCAGCCGATTACATGATGGTTTTTACCAAGTCAAACTGATGGAATGACTTATTATGAGCTATAGCAACTGTTGTGACCCAGCAACTATGTCAGTACCGTAAAAAAAAAATAAGGTACAAAATAGAGTTTTAGCGCAATCTGTGACTGGCTCACACAACTACATTCTTTTTTAGTAAAAAATTGGCGACAGCTGATCCATATAGATGGGATGTCTTCTTCTGTATCCAATAGTCAATGATACTACACAGCCTGACAATAAATGAGTTTTTGTAAAAAATAATGCAACAATGATGTAGGATACATCACAGCTGGTAATACAGTAGGCTACCGGTAGGACTGTTACAGCTTGAAACTTGAGACTGGTATCTCAAATATCTCTAATTTTGTTTCAAATCCTCTTGAAATCGCATGTTAAAAGTACCTTTATAAGTCAAAGGTTTTAAATATTTAACCCCAATAAATTGAATTTGAACAGGTTTTACCAGTAATACTCAACCTCTAGGTATGACTCAAATTTTCCCGAGCCTTACTGACTCAAAGTTTTATTATCTTCATAAGTCGATGTTATCACGATGTGCCCCAAAAACTCAAAGTATTGCTTTACAATACAAGTCAGCTTTGTTTAGATTCCTGTTGAGACATGAAAATCCAACTGAACTAACATAACTGTCAGTATCTTAAAACCTCGGTATCTCAAATTTTCGATACAGCACCTTCATAGCTCGAACCTCGCTTACTCAAACTTTGGGAAGGCTACAGTTCCATAGGGAGCCTGAGATTTATTATTGTTCTTATCAACTTCAACAAATCACTAGAGACATTGTACATAAGTTAAACTGAAACAGTTGGTTGTAGAAACAATCTAGCTAATTCTGGCAATCAAGGTAATTAAGGCTTAAATTATTAACTTAAGCTGAGCCAAATTTATGTCGCCATATGGACATCCCTTAACAACTTAGTAGCCTAGTCATTCCTTAAGTAAAAAGGCCAAAAAAGTGCAACCATTCCGTATATCTAAAATGGTAAAAAATGTAGTTTTGGTATGTTTACTTACAGTTTTTTGCATGCTGAATCCGAAAATTCAATCAGTTTTTGTCAGGAGATTCCTAAGTGGCTCAGTTAAAATGACGAATCTAAGGTTCATTGAGCGGTACTGGTGGTAATATGGTGGTCTGGACAGGTCCGTATGTGAACTGAGGAGAGCAAACAGCTGTTTATACTCGACTTAATGCGCAAAGGAATCAATTTGTTCTGAACGAATCGTTCAGAAAGATCCGTTTGCAAACTAAGTTAATCAGCCCTTAAGTTATTTAGGCATGTGGGGAAGATAGGACGGGTTTTATAAAGTGTATTCGTGACTGTATTAAGTGTTTTGAAGTTAGGTTACATCAAGGAAAAGTTTAGGTTATAATGAACCGGACTTGTTAATTTATGTTACCTCCAGACTGTTTTTGCACAATTGAAATAGTGGGTGAAATACAACAAAATAACAAATTTCAAAAATGCTTAAACTATTTATGCACTATGGCAAGATTTCCCTTTTAAAGCACTTTGATATTATGCACTATGGCACGTTTTCACTTTTTAGGTACTGCGGGTTTATGCACTATGGCACTAGTTAACAGACATTGAGGGTTGAGGTGAGGACAATCCTGTTGTTATTGAAGTGGCAGTGACGTAGCATCTATTCCTTGTATTTTACGAATATAGATTACATTTTTTAATGTTTTTAATAGTTTATGTATTAATACACAACAAACAATTGTTGTATTAGGTCTACTGTATTTTCGAAACGGCATCGAAGTCTGTTTGTTTTTACAAATCAAATCGTTGTTAGGTAACTGATAGCCTATTAAGATTTTGTTTTCATGTCGTCGTGTGTGGTTTTGTTTCTTTAACAACGAATGTAAACAAATAACAGCTGTTTCCACTCCACAAATCTTCCTCCCCTTCATGTAGCCTATTAGTCGCTGCTAGAGCTTGGACTCGCCCAAACCACCACTATCTGGATTACACAACGAAGTTACTCAACTTAAGTTTGTTATTAATTAAATTGTACGGTCACTTAGGAATTGACAAAATTATATTGCATTTTTCGATTCAGCGTGGAAAAACAGAAAGTTTAGGTAGACATAGTCCTATCAAAATTAAATTTTTAACCATTGTAGCCATACGGAATAATTTTTCCAAAAAATATAGAAAACTCCCTAAAAATATAAGAAAGGCCTTTTAAAATTCGTAGACTGCTTTCGGGTACACTTCCGCAGTACTGTACTGTACGATATACCATCAGATGAATAAGTTAACTGATAAAAATATAAATATTTATCTGGTTATCTGGTTCAATATTATAATATTGAAATGATTTTAGTTAAACCGTTATGATAACAATTAAAAATAAAATTTAAAAAAATGTATTCCTTAGTTTACACAAATATTAAAGATTAAAAATGGAAGAAATGGTTTGTAGGTTTTTTAGTTTATTAAATACCAATAAAAACGTACCAGTAAACAAACCAATTTTGAAATCGATGGTTAGGCCTACAATAGAAACAAATTTTAATCGGTAGGCTAGGCTATATCAAACAGAACAAGTTTCGATATATATATCGTTATTTATCCGATAATAGCCTATATCGTAGGTGCTCTGCGGAAGTCTAGCAAAAATACTGTTTATGTATCTCTGTTAAAAATGCTACAGCCGTAGACAATAGAAAAAAGAAATCATAAACATAGGGCTGACTAACTTATCGGTTGAGACGTAGTAGGCTATGCAACAAATTTTTCAACAAAAGAACTTTTGTTGAAACACTAAGACAAAAATAAGACACTTGTTTAATGTAAGTTGACTTATAACTTAAGTTGATTTTGTTTTTAGAGAAGTTAAAATGAAATATTATAGTGTTCCCTACGAATACTTGAACAGCCGGTATGGTTCATAAACAAAAACAAATGACATTGCTGGCCCGAATCCTAGTAGGCCTACAATAGCATCAACCCTTCCAGGACTAGCTATAGAGGAATATATCCGTTAGCATTTTGTGCGTAGCGGATGGTAGGTGGATATATCCGCTATATATTTGGGCTCTACGGACGGTAGGCGGATATATCCGCTGATTATTATGTCAGTTATTGTTATAGTTGATTGTCTAAGTTATAACATCATTAACTTAATCATTTCTAAAAACGTCATTTTATTAAATTATACCTTCAACCGATGTAGGCTAATAGGAAAGTTTTTCAAGAAAAATAAGAAATTTAATTTAAAAAAAATTGTTATTATGAAAAAGAGTTAAAAAAATATAAAAAAAGTAGGCCTAGGCCTATAAAAAAATATTTTGGATAAAAGTGCTGCACAGATTATATTTAGGTACCGGTACAACATTCTATAAATTATAGATATAAAAAAAATATTATTTACTTAGTTTTTATTTAACCTAAATAAAATAATTTTGTTGTCTGTAAGTATACAATAGGCCGTCTGGGAAGGGTTAACATATGTTTAGGCAGTTCCATTTAAGCAATTTTAAATAAAGTTCCCTACAGTCTCCTGACAAAGTGGCCTTCCTTGCACTGATTATAGCACAGAAAGTTGCTTGCTGCATCTACTTACTTTTGCCGCACACTTTTTACTTTTGCCGCAAACCAGTATTCCAACAAACAGCACAAAACAGTGTGATTTTATTAGGCACGCAATACAAGAACGCTTGAAAATAAGTTGGCAACGCTTAAATATTACGACTACAATTAACTTTAAGTTAGCTGGTGTTTAGCGTTTCCCACTTCATTCAATGTTTGGATTTAACCTTACCTAAGAACATGGTGTACAGTGTTTGAAATACTAATTATTTATATGCTTTATAGAAACTGTAGGAGGAATTTAATGTGTAACTAAAGTGAGTGCAAACTGCCTTTGCTGCACTTAAGAAACTTTCCAAACTCGCCTACAGCTACCGGTAGTGCGTAAACAATTCTCTCGTGTGCAGCAAAGTGCCACTTTTCCCACTAATTATCCAAATAACTTTCATTTGTTTTTATTATGTTTATGATCCACACCAAGTCTGTTCAAGTATTCATGGTGTTCCCTGCCCTAGGTCTTGGAATGAAAACTACGAAAATTAGTAATCTTACTTCTCTTTGTAGAAATTCCCTAAGAGAGCCCCCAAAGATAGAGGAGTGTAATATCTCTATAGTTCTTGTGATCTCAGGTTAACTCGTTAACTAGCTTGGTAAATATATAAAACTAATCCTAAACTTACCAGTACCAATGACAATAACATCGTATTCACTTGGGAGATCATCCATGTTGAATAGTCCAAAAGCTCAGATTAGTATATCACACAGAATTAGAATAGAAATGTACACATAACAAAATCAAGTATAATGTAATTTGAGTTAGATCGCAAGAGTTCAGGAAGCAATTACTTGGAAATACAAAATTCGTCACAGTGGGAGTCAATACACTTGGTGTCCTGCTTGCTGCTGACGGACGCTACGCTTTCTCCAATCTCCTGCCTGACTTTTCTTCTGCTAAAACGTCATTCAATCAGCTATACCATGGAGTAACAAGAATTGCTTAAAAAATAAGTAATAGTACTATATCCAGTGGAAGTTAATTTGTTAGCTTTGACTTGATGCTTCATGAGCTTCATTATCAAAATCTTGATTATGCTTTGATGTATTGTGAAAAAATTAAAAAAAGTCCTTATCTATGAACCAATTCTCAGTGTAACAACTATTGTTTCAGAATAAGTCAAAAAATACAAAATAAATCACATTTAAAGACTAACAGTGACCAAAATAACAATTCTATTGAAAAATTGGTTATTGTTCACATGTGGTGTATTTTAACGATTCACTTTTTTTGTCAGGTGAAGGTAATATTTTTTCCTACAGTTACCTAACAATGTACATGTTCTCTCACTGATTTGAGAAAGCAAAGTGGCCAATTCGCTCATCAGTGAGACAATGTTAACATTGTCTCACTCTAATTACTTTGTCTCACTCCAGATTTTCAACGTGAAGGTACGAAATAGTGAGCGCGTAACATGCAGGCAACGTCGTATGCGCGCGAAATACGTTGGCAGCACTGGCTGTAAATCAGCTGGTCAGCTGTTGTACTGTTGTATTTGTCACTTCACATTAAATGTTATATTAAAAGTTCACTTCTGTGTAAAAATAGGCTATGTTTCTTCACCAATTCATTTGTTTTTTTTTTATGGTAACTGTAGGAAAAGTATAATGTGCAACTAGAGTTCAAAGTACAATTGTCTCACTCGAGAAACCATTCCTCACTCGCCTACGGCTCGTGAGTAAGGATTTCTCTCGAGTGAGTCAATTGATCACTTTTCTCACTAGTTGCACAAATAACTATAATCTGCCAAGCCCTTTTAGCGAATTTCCTATATAGGGAATAAGCTATTACCGTACTCCATGGTGGAAGGAAAAAAGGAATGTTTCACCATGGTAGTACTCATGGTAAGACCTGGACCCGGGACCGATTTATTTGTTCATTTTGAGGTTCCTAGGGGCCAAAAACACCATCCGTTCAAATTCATATATATATACTAGCTGTAACCCGCGGGCTTTGCCCCGTTTAACTTCTTAATTTTCAAGATTATCTCGTTCGCATGGCTCAATCACGTCCTGGTTGAAGTTTGTTCGCTACGCTCACTCACCTTTAGGTTGGAGCTCGTTCGCTGCGCTCACTTGCCTTCAGGTTAGCTCGTTCGCTACGCTAACTCGCCTTTAGGTTGAAGTTCGTTCGCTACGCTCACTCACCTTTTGGTTGCAAATTAGCTGTTGTCATAAATGTAAAAGAAATAATATTGCTGCACCCTTTTGGTAATCCTTGTAACTTTAATGCCATTGAACATCATAGAACAGAACCAACTTGTTTAATTAATTGAAACAGCTGTTAAGATTCAATAATTCCATTTCTCATAAGGTTAACACGGGAAACTCCAGAGCCACTGGGGCGGAGCCCGAAAGGATTTTTGAAATAAGAATATGCCTATATGTTAATCGGGAATGTGAGCTATCATCATGCCAAATTTCAGCCCAATCCGACCAGTATTTTTCGCGTTCACTTGTCACAAACATACATCCATACATCCATACATCCAAACTTTCTCATTTATAATATTAGTAGGATATATATATATATATATATTTATTTATTTATTTATATATATATGTGTGTGTGTGTGTGTGTGTCTGTTAGCGCGATAACTCAAGCAAAAATGATCCGATTTTGATGAAATTTGGTACAAACGTGTAAACCTATGTTTATTCGAACGAGTTCGCGATCCAGCATAATCGGACCACGGGAACAGTGGTTTATATGGGGTTTTATGGGGTAAAAATGGCGTTTTTTTACCCTAAAAACAAAAAAAAACTGCAATTTCTTTTTAAACCGTTTTGTAGAGCTTAAATAAGAAATAATTTAGTATATTGAAGCGCTGTTGTATGCCTGACTGTCACGGAGAAAATTCAAAAGTAGTGTAAATTAAAATTCCCATGTTATTCTTATGGAGAAAATGAAAATTGTTGTAGTTTACTTGTTTATGGATATATATTGATAAAACTTGGCAAACACTTTTTACCTTCCCCGTAGCAGCAAACCTAAGTACTCGTGAAATCTAATGTTATTTGAAAAAGGCAATAAATATGTCTTAAAGGTCTTATTTATGGAAATATGTTAGTAAAAATGTAATCAGACAAGTTGAAATTCGCTTAGTCTGCAGGTTTGCTGCGGCGGGGGTATTTTAAGAGAGCCAGGCCGCGGCCTGGTAGAATTGGCAACGTGGCAAGTAGGGGCGTTTACTTTCATACGTTCCATAAGATAACATGGCAGACAGGTGACATCAGCTCATTAAATCGCACTTAATTGTTTTAAATTTAAATTTATGAACATAAATTTATTAAAATATTGAAAATAAAACATACAGAATTGAAAGTCAAAACAATATGAATTGAAAATCTATATCCTATATCTGCGCATATAAAGCAAGTCAATATTTTCATAGTCCAGCGACTAGGCTCTTGTAAATATACACAAATACCATTAGCTGCTTCCAAACAAAACAGTTGTTACAACCCTACTTTCGACGTAGCTACTTCGTCGGCCGCGGCCTGAAGTTAAAGGCGGCCTTGGCCAGGCTTATAAGCAGACCATGGGATTGCTTCGCAGCTAACAGCTTATTGCTCATCCTCATTCACGGTTCCTTATTCTCCGTCAGTTCGTCAAATCCCAGGTTCTTAGTGAACCATGAGATCCTGTTAAGTATGTTTTCCTGTTCTGCCATTTGATTTACAGTAGGCCAAGGGATCTCTCACGCAGACATTGTAGGGCTGGGCATATAGATATCACGTGGAAGGCTGTCTCCTCCTCGATGTTCTATGCCCATCCTTTGGTGAACATCTCTCTGTGCTGTGTTGTAAGCAATGTCACACGTCTGATGTGGACCCATGATCGGGCTTTCAGCTCCTTTATTTGCCCACTCGTCACCTTCCTCGTTGCCATCAGCAATACCTTTGTGCCCTGGAACCCAACTAAGGATAACCTTGTTCTCTCCCAGGGCTTTCATAGCCTGATGACAGTCCCATACTGCCTAAGAGGTAAAGTCAAAACTGTCAAGTGCCATTAGTGCTGCTTTGCTGTCCGAATTCATGCATATGTTGTGGCCTGTCAGACCACGCTCCAAACACACTCTTGCACACTTGGACAGGACAACCACTTCAGTCTGAAATGCAGAGGTAGCCAATTTCCCCAGGCTTACGCATGACTGCACCTTGGGTCTGACTCCATATATTCCAGCCCCAGTGCCTGTTGGCTTTTTCGAGTATACCAAGTGATCCCCCTTTTCATGTATTCAGGTTTACCTTTATCCCAGGCAGCCCTGTCAACAATGATGACATTGTATGGCTTTTCTAGATCTGTGATTTTCACCATTCTGTCTGGTAACATTTCCAAGGTGTCTATCTGCACTGAGTCCACAATCCTTAATGCTCACTGGAAGCATACTTCCAGTTGCCACTACAACCCATTCTGAAGGATGCCATCCCTGCCTCCCCTTTCACAATAATGTCGAGAGGTGGAAGGTTTAGCAATACTTCCAGGCCTGAAGTTGGAGTACCTACCTCTAATGGCTCCTGTGGTGCTAAGGCATGCCACTCGCTGGAACTTTTGTAGTCTCTTTACAGCGGTAGTTTACATTACATTGGTCCACCAGACTATCGAGCCATACACCATCATTGTTCTTGCAACCCTAGTGTATAGCCAGTTAGTCATTATTGTAAGGTGAGACCCCATGTCTTCCCCACAGCCCGTCTCATCATCATAAGTGTGGTCTGATAGCGTTGCGTTACATGTGACAAATGGCTGTTCCAGGCGTGCTTGTCGTCCGGCCTTGTTCCTAGGTACTTGAACTTCCTCTTAACCTGGATCTGATTACCAAAGAGAGTTGGTACTCTAGTAATATCAAAATTTCTCTTCCTTGTAAATGGTACCATTACGGTATTCATTGGATTGGATTGACCCTCAGACAATCCTGGTTACACCACTTTCCACTATGACAATGCCCTCTGCATGAGTTCAAGGTAAGTGTTAAAAAGTTTTCCTCTTATTAGGACAAAAATGTCGCCAGCATATCCTTGAGCGTACATTCCCTGTGTATTGAGCTCGGAAAGGAGATCGTCAACCCCCAGATTCGACAGATTTGGTGACAAGACGCCACTCTGTGTACACTCTCTTTGGGCCTTGGACTCTCTCACCGACCCACAAGATGATGCTTGCGCTCCCCTACTTTCAAGTATGTTGCCTTCCCCACCTCACAACAGTGCTTTCCACATTCCTTGACACCATCAGCTTTGATACAATAGAGCGAGTACTAGTGTTATCAGAAGCTCCTTCTATATAAAAAAATTTCAGCCACCGCTATTACCTTGTTCGAGATAGCATTTTCAATCTTACAAACCAGTGCATGCAGGGCGGTTTCGCACGACTTTTATTTCTGATTGGCATGTTGGTTTGGCTGCAAAGGATGGCTTACAAGGACCCTATCCTTTATTGATCGTCTATCTACTAATATCGACGCACCAAGGGGAGTATCAGCTGGTACCCACCCTCCTACAAGAACACAGGATAGATGCCATCGGTACCATAGGAGCTTGATTTTTTTAAATGCCCTAAGAGCTCATTTTATACTCGTAAAGGTAAAACATGTATTATTTTATTTATTTACTTTACAATCCTATAAAAATACCCATGTAGCACAGATGGTTGGGCCAACGTTGATAAATTGTGGAGCCACACAGTTGGCCAACGGTAGAAATGTCACCTCTTTAAACTGTTTTCCAACCAACCATTGTCCAACAATGGCCCAACCATCCAAAAATACTGATGGGCAACTCACCATAACACAACTGATATCCAACCAACCGTTTTATTTCACACAAAATAATAAAGATTTCGTATGAAAAGCATAATTATTAGTTGAGTAAATTGA